ATTTGTCAGAGCAAAAACAGATCGCAGGTAGCCCCGGAGCTGAGGAACAGCTCTGATTTTTGCTAAAATCTATGAGTCCACCACTTTCTGATCCACCTTGGGCTGCTCTGAAATCTTGTATCTCTCTTTCTTCGTGCCAAAGATCTCACCTTGCTGGTGTCTGGGCTTCTGCAGCTTCTTCTTCTTCTTCTTGAAGTAAGCATCAGTGAGGTATTTGGGGATTTTCACTTTGCTGATATCAATTTTTGTAGAGGTGGCAATGACAAATTCTGGTGTGTTTTTCGTGGAGGACCACGATTAAGGCTAAGAGGCCCAGTCACAAGTAGCAAGCCACTGGCCAACTGTTTCAGGAAGACCACTGTCTTGCTTTTGTGACACCTAGTGAGGATGATCAAGATGGTTCTGGGAGTGATGCTAGCTCAAATTTTCCTCACATGCTGACTGAAGTGTTTCTTGCCGTAGCTCAAGAGCTTCCGGGGTACATCTTCAGTAGGGTAGCATCTAGGCATCTTTTGAAGCTTAACCACCCAGGTACCACCATTCTTGTTCCCACCAACCAGTTTTGTGATCGTAGCAAGAACTTTCTTCTTTTTTTTTTTCCTCAAACTTTGATTTAGCAGCTGTGTACTTTCTCTTGTACAAAGCCTTTCTGGAATACATAGCAGATCGGGAGTATCTACCAATTCCTCTAACCAGGACAGGATTTTGGCTGCAGGATTTTGGTACTTTTTACCAGTACCACTGGCAGAAGCCTTCTTGGCTTCAGGTTTCTTCTCTTTAGTGTCTGACTTCTCAGTTTTTTTACCTGCCATATCTTGCAAGATGGGAAAGAGAACTGTTGTCTAACTTTTTTCTTCTTTGATCTAGTGATTGCATTTATTTATTTATTTATTTTGTCTGAATGAGACAAGGTCTCAATCTGCATTTCAGGCTGGTTTTGAGCTCTCTTTGTAGCCCAGACTGGTCTTTGACTCACAACAATCCTCCTGCTTCAGCTTCCCAAGTGCTGGGATTACAGGCATGTGCCACCATCCTCAACCCACTTATTACTTACGAGTGATGTTTAATTTCTGTAAAGTTGTGATTTTTCTAGTTTGCTTCTCCTTTTGAGTTCTAACTTCATTGTATTGGGGTCTAAAATACATTTTGGCTATACCTCTTCAAATCTTTTGCGCATCCCAGGCCCTTAAAAGGTGCCTTTTTCTCACTTCATTTTCTTTTTCCTCTTTTGGAAATCACACACAAGCATGTCTAAAGCATCCACATGTACAGAGGAAATCAGAACATCACTGTACCTGCCCAGGGAAGGTGCAGACAGATAAGACTTGAGGGTACCTACATCTACACTTATAGCTGACCCTTAGCATAGAGACAGCCCACAACAATCAAAGGTGGAACAAACACAACAGTTCTGGGGTTGCAGAGGTTCTAATTTCAAGTGTCAACAAAACATCAAAAGGCACCTGAAGTACAGAAATAACCAGTAGACACCATCTGTGAAGAAGTCCATGTGGTAGATCTACTAGACAAAGATGTTAAAACAATTGTCTTAAAGATACTCAAAGAACTGAAGGAAGATGTGAGGAAAGTGGAGAAAACAGTATGTGAAATGTCAGTGAAGAGACGAAAAGATTTGGAGTTGGAAAATTCTCTTGAGGAAATCAAAGGTTGCTTTCAACAGGAAGAAGAAAGAATCAGTGAATGTAAAGACATGCCAGTGGCAAGTATTGGGGCCCAGGAACAGAAAGAAAAAAGACTAGAGAAAAGTGAACAGCATGAGGGGCTTTGGTACCAAGGAGCTATACCATGAAGATGCCTGATGTGTACACTGTAGGAATCCCACAGGGTGAGAAGGCAGAGGGGCAAAGAATATGGGAAGAAATGGTGACTGAAAGAAAAGATCACAAATTTGATGAAAGACATGAATATAAACATCCAAGAATTCATGACCTCGAAGCAGGATGAATGCAGAGACTCACACTGAGACAGAGTATAACCAAGCTTAAGAAAAAATTTTGTAGGCAGCAATTTTTTTTGTTTTAGTGTTTTTTTGTTGTTCTTTTTTTGGGGGGGTTGTTTTGTTTTTGTTTTTTTGGTAGAAGTTGGAATTGAACTCAGGCCCTTGTGCTTGCCAGGCAAGCACTTATTCTACTGAGCTATCTTCCCAGGCCCATAGGCAGCAATTCTGAGGTATGCATAACTCATTATACACAAAACCTTCCCAAAAAGACTCCAGCAGATCTCTTATCAAAGTTCAGAGGCCAGAGGGCAGTAGATTGGTGTATTCAAACTGTCACCCAAGAAGCTTATATCCAACAAAACTGTCCCTTATAACTAAGGAAAAAATTAAGACATTTGCAGATCAATAGAACTGGCAGGAAGGAAGAAAAGAAGGAAGGAAGGAAACAATTAATAAATGGAAAGGAAATAAGAATAGGATTTAAGGGGGGCCGAAGAGATGGCCCAGTAGAATAAGTGCTTGCCTGACAAGTGCAAGGGCCTGAGTTCAATCCCCAGTTCCACCAAAAAAAAAAAGAATAGGATTTAAATACTTTGCTACCAAAAATTAAACACAAAAGACAGTAATACAGAAATCTAGGGACACAAAGCTATAAGCTAGAAACAGATGTGAAGTAGCAGAGTCTTCTTCATCAGTAATTATGCTAAAGCTAAATGGGTTAAATTCTCCAATCAAAAGACAGAGACTGTCAGACTGGATTCAAAACACTATAGTCCTATATATAAGAGACTGGCTTTAGATCCAGAGGCACAAATACGTTGATAGTGCAAAGATGGAATAAGATACTCCATTGAGTAGCAAAGAACTAGTAGCTATGCTATCTGAACAGGTTGCAACAGACAAAGAAGAAAATTGTGTATCAATAAAATTCTCAGTGAGAGAAAGTATAACTGTTTTTTTTTTAAGTATCCACATAATTACACTCTCAAAATCCCTATAACTTAAGAAAATGAGAAGCTGACCATTCACTGGGAGGGAGATTGGCAGGACATGGGCAGGGACACGGAGGCTTGAACAGAATTCTTCCCAATTTGAATCCCTGGGAAGCTGCCAAAAGTGAAGGAGGCCCCTTCAGAGCACAGGTGTTAAATGGCGTAAGCTGGAGAGGGCAATGGAGCCAGGGAGCCACAGGTTTGGTACTGGATGCAACCAACGATAAGGAGAAGTTATTGGAGAGCTGGAAAGAGAAAGAAAGAGATGGAGGAAACAGTGAAGGACAGACCTCATACCTGGAAGTGAGTGGGTGGGAGACAGGGGACGTGACAAAGCAACAGAGCTGCCAGCCAAGGACCAGGGAATTTATCTGGCTGCCCAGGTCCTGGTCTTGTCTCCCTACTACTGTCTTTCAGTTTAGGAGGGCTCCCGAAGGCAGCACTGGCCTGCATCTCATGCAGAGCAGAGAAGTTCCCTGTCTCAGTTTCGTGGACCAGTCACACTTCATAGCCCCGTTTTCTCACTGTCTTGCACTTTCTTCAGCTGCTTAGTTATTCCTCCAGGTGAAAACTAGATTGATTTTGCCAGCTCTTGCCAACAAAACTTCTTGGAGATTTTAATTAAAATTGCATTCAATTGTAGATAAATTAGAAGTAACTGGTATGCATAATATCTATTAAGATATTTAGATGATTTACCCAAAGACAAGCTTTGTGCTTGGAGGAAAGCTGAGTTGTTTTCCCTACATCTTGTGCAATCTTGCTAACTTTGTTCCCTGGATTTGTTTTGTTTTTCTTCCTGACATAAACAGTACTCTTTCCATAACATTTTCTAATCACCTGTGATTGACAGAAGAGAATCAGCAGCTTTCTGACAGTCTCACAGGTCTGTGGGTCGGGAGTGTGGGAAGGCTCTGCTGGGTGACACCGGCCCTGGATCTTTCATGGACAGTGAGATCCTGGCTGAAGTGACTAGGAAGCTAACTGGAGCTGAAGGATCCACCACCAACTCAGAGCCCACCCTGCTGTGTCCGCATGATGTAGCAGCTGGCCTCCCCCTTAGCAAGCCGCACCAGGGACAGCCAGGGGCCGCCATCCTTGGCTGGCAACTCTGTTGCTTTGTCACTTCCTCTGTCTCCTGCCCACTCTTCCCAGCTCTCCAATAACTTGGCTCCATTGCCCTCTCCAGCTAACGCCATTTAACACCTGTTCAAGCCTCCACGTCCCTGCCTCAGTGTCCTGCCAACCTCTTTGCACCCAACATGGGCAGGGAAGGGCCACAGGAAGTAGGATACCAACTCTGACACATGTCCTCCCACCCACACCACTGTCCATGTGGGATTCAGCCCTGACAAGCCCTCTGAAGGCTGCTGCTAGAATGGAGCCCTGGGTCACAGCCTTTGCCAGCTTGAGTGGACATGTGTAGAGAGCAGGGTGATTCTGGCATCGTATCCCATGAAAGTGGGTGTTTCCAACAACTCCTGGCCTCATTCAACTGAGTCGCCATCAGCCCTGTTCTGGGATTCCTAAGCCATATAATCCAGGAGGGACAGCAAGGCTAGCCCTGGTTCCATGAAGGTAGCCTCCCTAGGCATCATGCCAGAGCCCAGGCCACACCACAGGCTCATTGGGGCTTGATTGGTGAGATCCCGTGCTAGTAATAACTAGATCTAGACAACACTGATCTCTCTGTGTCCTCACCAATACCCCTAGTGAAGGAGACCAGGCCTGAGGGTCAAGGTCACACATAGGAACTAGGAGCCACAGGCAGAGCAGCATCTTCCTCCCTCCTACTTCCAGTGCAAATGGGTGGCAGTGTGGGTGTGAAGGAAGCCCTGGGCTTCCACCCTTCTTGACAGGGCCAGAACTGAGCCTAGATGAGCTCACTGTGGGTAGGCAGCCCCACTGAGGGTTGGGGGCATGGGTTACAGCCCAGGGGCAACAACACCATGCAAGAGACCCTTGCCTCCTGCAAACGGGCCAGACACCCTGCATAGTTGGGTTGTGGTGCTTCCATGGCACCACTTGCAGTGCCCCCTCTCTTGCAGGACTGAGGCACAAGGTGACTGCCATGATGCTGCGGGGCCCTTTCTCAGCACTGCTGCTTGGGGGTCTGCTGGGGGCCCTTCATGCCCAGCAGCAAGAGCTCATCTCACCGGACACCATCACCTCTGACAGGACCAACAGCTGCCCAGGTACCAGGGCTCAGGCGGGGATGGTTGTAGGGTGGGAAAGGAAGCCTGCTAGGCAAGCCATGACACCCCTTGTCCCCAGAGAAGACCGACTGCCCTGTCAACGTGTACTTTGTACTGGACACCTCGGAGAGTGTGGCCATGCAGTCACCTACCGACAGCCTGCTCTACCACATGCAGCAGTTCGTCCCACAGCTCATCAGCCAGCTGCAGAATGAGTTCTACCTGGACCAGGTGGCGCTGAGCTGGCGCTACGGTGGGCTACACTTCTCTGACCTGGTGGAGGTGTTCAGCCCACCAGGCAGTGACCGAGCCTCCTTCACCAAGAGCCTGCAGGGCATCAGGTCCTTCCGCCGGGGCACCTTCACTGACTGTGCATTGGCCAACATGACTCAAGAGATCCGCCAGTCAGGGGCCCGTGGTGTCAACTTTGCTGTGGTCATCACTGATGGCCACGTCACGGGCAGCCCATGTGGTGGCATCAAGCTGCAGGCTGAGCGGGCCAGAGATGAGGGCATCAGGCTCTTTGCTGTGGCACCCAACCAGAACCTAAATGAGCAGGGCCTGCGGGATATTGCCAGCACCCCGCACGAGCTCTACCGCAGCAACTATGCCACCATGCGGCCAGACTCCACTGAGATTGACCAGGACACCATCAACCGCATCATCAAAGTCATGGTGAGCAGTGGACCCTATAGGGAGGACATGCAAGACCAGGCTGAGTAGCCACAGGAATCTATGCTCTCATTGACCAAGGGACTCTCTGTCTTGCCCTGTCTTTCTACAGAAACATGAAGCCTATGGAGAAGTAAGTGGAACTTCCCTCTCCTATCCACCCTGGCCTGCTGCCTATGACATCCAAGGACCCCACAAAGCACCACTCTGACTCTGGCTCTCAGGGGCTGGAGTTCTATGTGGAGGAGAGGGAGAAAAATCTTCCAAGCTGTGTTGTACTCAAATCTCAGGGCTTCAACAAGGGTTCCTACTCAAACCAGGCTACTTGGGTCAGAGCTAGGTCATCCTCGAGGGTCATGGCCCTGATGGGCAGCTGCATGCAACCCAAGCTATGTCAGGTAGTAGCAGTATATATTTCCAGACATCTGTGACACCCCTTGTGCCATATGCCATGTGCCATGTGCCAGCTCTGGCTCCCAGAGAAAGGGAGCAGGTGCCTGAGGGCCCCACCCAGTGTGGACCCAGTGCTCATGACTCATGGTTTCAGCGTTGTACACAAACAGGGCCTGGTTGCTACATCGTCTTTGCTACAATATGTGAGACAGGAAGTATCTACCCAAGTATCTGCTCCTTTGTTCTGGTCGCCTGGCTTGACGGGCACTTTGGGGGCTCCTCTGAGAGTCCCAGTCACATGTATCCCAAAGCTATATCCTTCCAGGGACCTTTCCCACCAGCCTAAGCTGCTGTCACTCCATTGTCCCTTCTCATTTCAGTGCTATAAGGTGAGCTGCCTGGAGATCCAAGGACCATCCGGCCCCAAGGGCTACCGTGGACAGAAGGTGAGACCCCAACCACCTTGCATCCCACCACCCTTGTTTAAACAACATTTTGAGAAAAGTAAGACTTTTTTCAAAAAAAATTTAAGCTATATCATTAAAACATTTATCAAGCAAGCAAGAAAGCATACTCAGGTAGGTCTAACATGAGACATGTTACTGGGGACCATGGTTGCTGAGTTACAGAGAGCACCCACTGTATGGCTTATAAAGTAGTTTTTTGGAACCTGCTGTGAATGGTCCCCTGTGTTCCTAACATCGGAGGTATATGGAACAAAATCCTTCCAGACCCCACTACCAGAGAGTTTGAAACCCCAACCATCCGTGTCCATTAGAAACCTTAAGCAGAGGTTAGAGAATTCTGCAGCAAGACAGGAGCAAGCATGTAAAGTAACTCTCAGAGGATATTACTGTTTTCTTTCCAAATGTGGTGACAACTTCTAGACCAGAAAAGGGTCTGAAGAGGCATCCCCAGACCACAGGCCAAACCTTCTTCACCACCCTCCTGGTGTCTCCAATCCTGGTAGCAAAGCCCACCCTCCCACATCCAGGAGTGAAATTGCCACTGGGATGCCTAGCTGCCCATAGCCTGGTGTGTCCAGGGCCTGGAGGAGGGCACTGCAGTGACCTGAAGTAGGGCACAGTTGTGGCAATCGGAGCCTCTGTGCTCAGCTTTCCCTTCAATCCTCGCGTCTTCCCTGCTTCTCTGACCGTCTGCACCTGAACAGGAAGCATATTAATAAGTGTGTGCAGCCATCAGTAAACTCTACTCCAAGGGATGCAGCTTTCATATGGCTTTCCAAAGCTCTGATCTATGTGCAGTTACTGGGGTCCCCATCCTGTTCAGAGAAATTAATGTCACCATGAATGCCACACAGTCTTGGGAACAATCCAAGCCCTGTAGTTACAGCCATGGATGTAGAAGGGTGGCTTCCTGGAGAGCTTCCTGGGGGCTCAGAGAAGAGTCCAGCTGCTGGGACTTCAGGGGTAGCTGACTGACTCCAAAGTCTGGGGGCCAGTGGCCCTTGACCTGCCCCCTCTCAGGGGAGCAAATGGGTTTTCCATTGCCCAGCTTTCCAGCTCTCAGTTTACCCTTTTCCCTGTCATCTGCCTGTAGGGTGCTAAGGGCAACATGGGTGAACCAGGAGAGCCAGGACAGAAGGGGCGACAGGTAAGCACTCCTACTCCATACATCTAACCACCCTCACACACCTCACATCTGAAGTTCCATCCAAGTCTGTGTTCTTTAACAGGGAGACCCCGGCATTGAAGGCCCCATCGGATTCCCAGGACCCAAGGTGAGCTCCGTTGGGTGGCAGGGGCCTGGTTCAGGGGACCTGGTGCTATCTGTGGCAGGCTCCCCCACCCTGTTACCTACATAGTTTGAAGATCACCCCAAAACTGAACATCCATCTGACAACTCGTCCAGCCTGTGTTCAGAGCCTGCATGCAGTTTCCAGGCGACAGAAGACCCTGCCCACTGCATGTTTTCAGATTGTCATCCCAGTCTTCCCTGTTGTCCTAAACCCACTCTCCGGGACCCCAAGGTTACCTAATGACCCCTGTCCTTCCTTCTGTCCTAGGGTGTGCCTGGCTTCAAAGGAGAGAAGGTAAGTTTCCATGGCAGAGTTGGAAGCAGATGATGCTGCATCCCACCAGGCTGTCCTAGTCATGGGGCTAGGTGGCTCTGGGGTGGTCAAATGGGGTTCCCTCAGCCTTCTGCTGGACTAAGGGCTCAGCCCTCACCCCAGAGAATGTGGTGTCCAATGCTGAAAGCTCAGTTCATGCCCACTTTCTTCCTGCACAGGGAGAATTTGGAGCCGACGGAAGGAAGGTAAGCAAGCGGCACCCACCTTCCTGCTGCTGAGGGGACCAGGATCAGCACTCACAGTCCCTCTAACATCCTTTCCAGGGAGCCCCCGGACTGGCAGGCAAGAATGGGACCGATGGACAGAAGGTAGGGTGAGCCTCAGCCTGGTGCTGTGCTAGCGGCACACATGTGCATGTACACAAACACACACACACACACACACACACACACACACACACACTGGTACACAAACACTCATACACATGCACACTTGGGCACACAGGCAAACTTGTGCCCCAGCCTCATTCCCAGGAAGCAGCTCTATGGAGGTAAAGAAGGACAGTTGTTGGGATGTTCCCCTTCAGCCCTGTGGGTTGGCCATGCCTGCTCTCCCTCCTTGGACCAGAATGGCTGACCTTTCCCCAACCCTTCCTCCTTCAGGGCAAGCTGGGCCGCATCGGACCCCCAGGCTGCAAGGGAGATCCCGGAGACCGGGTAAGGATTCTCGGGCATCTGGCTACTCTCTCCTGGCCAGTCCTGCCCTGCCAATCCCTGGCCACAGCTCTCAGGAGCTTTCTCCAGGCTGGTATTTCTGTAGGCTGGGTGCTGTGTACCTGCTCATCAGGGCCATCCTCATGGGTGGGTCTCATGGAGCCAGGGACCACAGTGAGGTGGGATACACCCCTGAAGCTCAGAGGATGGGCCTTGCTGCCCCTACTCAATCTTCAGTGGCCCTGGCCAATATCATGCCTCCCCTCCCCTCAGGGCCCTGACGGGTACCCAGGGGACGCCGGGAGCCCAGGCGAGCAAGGAGACCAAGGTGCCAAGGTGGGTGACTGAGAAGGAAGCCCACAGACAGTGCCTTTCCCCAAGGCCAGCCACACACAACCAAAGCTACCAGGATCCCTTGCTGGGAGCGTGCTGCCCCTAAGCCTGACAGCTCAGGCCTGGCTGCTAAGACCCAGGCTCCAGCCTCTGCACTGCATGTTCCTATCACCTGTGCCCCCTGGACAGTTCAGAGCAACCTGTGCAGATTCTACTCAGTGCCTGACATTCTGGGTGCTTCAAGGATGGTGGGGTGGCATGAGACCCCCAAGATCCGCCTGGTCCTGCTCCTCCCTGTAGAGGGCTGAGTTAATCTCTCTAAACCCTTGCAGGGGGATGCTGGACGCCCAGGACGCAGGGGTCCCCCAGGAGACCCTGGGGACAAAGGAAGCAAGGTGAGCCCCCTGGGAATAGCTACCCAGCCACCAGCAGTGCTACCTCATGGGTGTGAGGATAGAAAGACCAGCTGTGTGCCGAGCACTGCTGCTAAGTGCCAGGGACCTCAGGGCCTGAGGTCCTTGCTGCCTACCTACTCACAGTGGCTGCACTGTCCCCTACCCCATACAGGGTTACCAAGGCAACAATGGAGCCCCTGGAAGTCCAGGCGTGAAAGGAGCCAAGGGCGGGCCTGGACCCCGAGGACCCAAAGGAGAACCTGTGAGTCCCTGCCCGCCACAGCCTCAGGTTTAGGATCTACAGCAGGCAGAGTCCCCTTCCACCTCTGCCACCCACTGAGAAGGGTACCAGGGCCAGCCACACCCTGCAGGGCCCCCCAGGTCTGAACTGGGGAGACACCCAGACTCTGGGCTGACCTGTGAGGAGACACAGCCTAAAGAGGAGCCCATCCTGGCCCAGCAGCACCCAAGTCACAACCCCTCAAACACCAGCTTCCCAGGACTAGAATCTGAGTCGTACCTCTGCAACCTCTGAATCCTTGAGGGCCAGAACCTGCAGACAGGGGCCCCCAAGGAGGAAGAGTCAAAACAGCTACTGACATGTCTGTCCCTGCAGGGGCGCAGGGGAGACCCTGGAACCAAGGGTAGCCCGGGCAGCGACGGCCCCAAGGGGGAAAAGGTGAGTCCCTCGAGAGGCAGCTGGGCCCTGGCCATATCTGCATCTGTACTGCAGTTGTCACCCTGGGTTCACGGACCTTGTCCCATCCACATCTGTCAGGAGAACCAAACATCATGAGGCCTCCCCGTGGTTGGGGTGAGGGCTGCTCCCGCAGGGTCTATCAGAGTGGTGTTCGGATAGGCACGATTCTCACTCTCAGCTTCTGGAGGGTCCTTGAGGGCACTCCCCACCTTCCCACACAGGCCAGGCACAGCGAGCAGGCTGTATACTGCCCCACTGCACAGGTCCTCACCATGCACGTGAACTCTGGAGGATGATCCTGATAGGCTTTTGGCACAAGCCACTTTTCTGGTTCCCAGAGACAGGGGAGGTCCATCCTGCCAAGGTGGCCAGCAGAGACAGGGCAGTGGGCTAGAGGGCACCCTTGTTGCAGCATCTACCCAGACAACCAGTCAGAATCTACACCACACCACACCCTGTCTCCTCTGTGACCTGACCCAGCTCTCTTCCCACAGGGGGACCCTGGCTCCGAAGGGCCCCGAGGCCTGGCTGGAGAGGTTGGCAGCAAAGGAGCTAAGGTACCAGAGGGTTGGGTGGGCAAGAGGGCAGGTGGGCAGCAGGCCAGGCCTGTGCCCCACTCCCCCTGTAGGCCCCACCAGGCCCTCTGGTCAGGGGTGGGGCAGGGCCAGGCCTAAAGCCCCCAAGCAGCAGGGTCTGGGCTCTTCCCCAGACGCAACCTCTAGGTCTCTGATGTCACCAGAGAACCCAGCCTGATCCCTTCCTTTGCAGGGAGACCAGGGGCTACCTGGACCCAGAGGCCCCCAGGGGGCACCTGGGGAGCCCGGGAATCAGGTCAGTATCAGGCACCACATCTGTACCCTGCCCTATGGGATCCTGAGCACTGTGGGCAGCACTGCTGGCTGCCAACCGCAGTCTCATGCATGGACCTGCCCCCATGGGTCCTGCTATCCCAGTGCTATTCTGAGGTTAGCATGGGGATCTGGAACCATGTGGCCTGTGGGTCAGAGCTGGGCTGGGGTGTGTTGGAGACCCCTGGATGCCCATCTGTCCCTGTCAGAGCTACTGCTGACCCCAGTTTCTCTCCTGCCTCAGGGATCTCGGGGAGACCCTGGTGATGCTGGGCCTCGTGGAGACTCAGGACAGCCAGGCCCCAAGGTACAGCCTTTCCAGGCCAGGGCCAGTGGTGAAGGGTGGTGGACAGTGACAGAGTACAGGAGGACATTGGAGTGCAGTTGCTTCCCTCTTAGCTCCAGCCCTGGGAATGGGGCAGTGAGGGTAGGGGGTATGCTGCAGGGTGCTCAAGTACCTCCCCCATATGAGCTACAGTGCCTGCCTGGAAGGCTCCACTCAAAGCCCAGACAATGGTGCCAATCATGCATGCTCATTCCCTCCTATTGCTAACCATGGTCCCCACCCCTCCCACAGTACACTCCAAGTAACCCTACCTCTACTTCCAGGGGGACCCTGGCAGGCCTGGCTTCAGCTACCCAGGACCCCGAGGGACACCCGTGAGTATGGGCATGGGTCAGAGGCTGGGATGGGGCTAGACCTGGCCCTCACAGGCCCTGGAGGCCTCCTCGGTTGAGTTCAGGGGCTGTGAGGGGTCAGTGGTCACAGATGAGGCCCAGACTTGGGGACAGTGTGTGAGGCCTGGACTGTGTCACATGGCACCTCCTGAGACAGGGGTGGGCTCAGTTTGAATGCTGATGGTGAGACCTGCTCTCTGGGGACCCTGCTCCCTTCCTTTGCAGAGAGACTGGGGACTGCCTGGATCCAGAGACCCCCAGGGGCCTCCCCAGGCTGACCCTGGACTCCTGAAGCAAGAAAATCTGACCTATGTTTCCTTTTCAGGGAGAAAAAGGCGAGCCTGGCCCACCTGGCCCTGAGGTACATAGGCCTGCCAGTCTGGCCACACCCATGGTGGTGTCCAGGGGCACATCTCTCCCTCAGCCAGGCCCTGCATCCAGCTGGCCATGCGTAGTGACCACCAGCCATGGCTGGGCCCCTTTTGAATTAAACGTTGGGCTTTTGCTCTGCCCCTTAGCCAACCTGAGTCACAGCCATGTCTCTTCTGACAAGGCATAGTCATATCCCTGGCAGGCTGAGTGGTCTCCATGGACAGATGGAGATGGATGCCCCCACACAACTAACACTTGTATCCCTACCACAGGGAGGCCGAGGAGACTTCGGCATGAAAGGAAGACCTGGGAGGAAAGGCGAAAAGGGGGAGCCTGTGAGTGTCATGGTCACCCTGCAGCAGGGGTCAGGCCTGAGTGCAGCAAGAGCCTGTAGCTGACTGTGTCCATCTGTGCCGCTTCAACCTGAACAGAAAGCAGTTCAGGCTCCGCCCCGCCCCACCCATCCTGCCCGTATCATCGCTTCATATCCCCACCACATGCACAGCCCACGCTAGGCCAGCTACCCAACAGGCAGTACAGTCAACAAATGCCTGCACGAGGGCAGAGCAGAGCACAGACAGGCTGGACAGACACACAGGAGAGCCATCAGTGAATGTATAGGCAGATGAACAGACAGGTGTGGTGGCTGGAGAGCAGTGGGCACATGGGAGGGCAGGTGGGTGGGTGGAGGAACAAGTGAGGCTGGTGGTGAACTGGAGCATGAGGGACAGTGGCAGGTGGATGGTTGGGGTGAGAGCAGTCATGGTTGGGGTCCACTGTCTGGGGCATCACAAGCTCCTCTGCACTCTGTGGGTCCCTCTGCCTGCCCCAGTGGCAGAGTCTTGGTGTTCCTTAGTTTGGGGTAACACCCACTGTGCCCAGGAGGAAGACAGGGTTGCTTTCAAGGAGTAGAGACCCACCAGGGCATTGCCAAGCCCACCTGACCTCTCCTCCACAGGCTGACCCTGGTCCCCCTGGAGAACCAGGCCCTCGGGGGCCAAGAGGAGACCCAGGACCTGAGGTATGTGGGCCCTAACCCTTGTCTCCACACTGGGGCTGGCCCTGGGCCAGTGTGCACTGAAAAGTGGCCCCAGCCTTTCTTGTGCCTCACTGCCCTCTTTCCTGTAGGGTGAGCCTGGACCCCCCGGAGACCCCGGCCTCACGGTAGGTGTCAAAGTGTAGACTCAGTGTGCTTGTCTGTTCTGTTTTGTTTTGGGAATTTTTGCTTATTTATTTCGTTTTTTCATCTAAGACAGAGCCTCAGAAAAATAGTTTGGGCTGGACTTGAACTGACTATGCAGTCCAGGCTGGCCTCAAACTCATTATGTAGCCCAGGCTGAACTCAGAGCAATCCTTCTGCCTCTGCCTCCCGAGTGCTGGGATTACAGGCGTGCACCACCCTGCCTGGCAGCATCCTGTGTGGAAGTGCCCTTCTTGATCCTAAACACCAGGAATAAGGGCAGCAGCCAGGAGTGGTGGGCAGGGCGAGGCCAGGGGATCATACCTAGCCACTTTCCTCCTTGGTCTCCATTTTATATGGGCAGAGAGTGTCACCATATTCAGGGCCAGGGACTCTTCTGGGGGCACTTTCTGAGGCACTGTTCACTTGCCATGTTACAGGAATGTGACGTCATGACCTACGTGAGGGAGACCTGTGGGTGCTGTGGTGAGTCTTCACCCATGTCCCTGCCTCTTGGGGCCTGGGAGTCTCTTGTGGGCCTCGCCCCACCACCCACTGACCTTGTTGCCTCCCAGACTGTGAGAAGCGTTGTGGTGCCCTGGATGTGGTCTTTGTCATCGACAGCTCTGAGAGCATTGGCTACACCAACTTCACCCTGGAGAAGAACTTCGTCATCAACGTGGTCAACAGGCTGGGGGCCATTGCCAAGGACCCCAAATCAGAGACTGGTCAGTGGAATGGGGTGTCCCTGGCAGCATCTCTGCACATTGCGCCATGGGGTCTGTGCTGGCCTTGGGGTGCCTCACACCAGTGGCTGTTGCAGGGACACGTGTGGGAGTGGTGCAGTACAGCCATGAGGGTACCTTTGAGGCCATCCAGCTGGACGACGAGCGCATCGACTCCCTGTCCAGCTTCAAGGAGGCCGTCAAAAACCTGGAGTGGATTGCGGGTGGCACCTGGACACCCTCCGCCCTCAAGTTCGCCTACAACCAGCTCATCAAGGAGAGCCGGCGCCAGAAGACGAGAGTGTTCGCTGTGGTTATCACAGACGGGCGACACGACCCGCGTGATGACGACCTCAATCTGCGGGCACTGTGTGACCGTGATGTCACCGTGACAGCCATTGGCATCGGTGACATGTTCCACGAGAAGCACGAGAGTGAGAACCTCTACTCCATTGCCTGTGACAAGCCACAGCAGGTGCGCAACATGACGCTCTTCTCTGACCTGGTGGCTGAGAAGTTCATCGATGACATGGAGGATGTGCTTTGCCCAGGTGAGGAGACCCCATATCCATGTGGAGGTCCCATGCCCAGAAGAGGGGGCCTAGTGCTCAGATGAGGGGGTCCTCTGCCCAGATTACAGTGTCCCATGCCCAAGTATGGGAGGGTCATCTGCCCAGATGGGGCGGTCCCATGCCCAGATGAGAGTGCCTTGTGCTCAGGTAAGGGCAGGACCTCTGCCCAGGTGAGAGGGGTCTTTGCCCAAGTGGGCATCAGGATACAGAACTGACCATAGGGCAGGTGGCCACTGAGGGCCTGATGGATACTAATGGAGACCCTGGCCTCTCTCCTCTCTTCCAGACCCTCAGATCGTGTGCCCAGAGCTTCCCTGCCAGACAGGTAATGTGAGCTCCCCAAGCCCACACCCCAGTCTGGTGAGCAGCCCTGGCATTCTTCCTCCTAGCCACCAGCTGAGGGGCTTGTGTGCCCAAGGCCACATGCTATAGAGATGCCCCCAGGGACAGCTTTGGATTTCTCGGCCCCAGGGTCCAGCATGGGCAGAGCCTGGTCGGGCCCGGCCTGGACTGCAAGTGGTGCTGCTGGTGTAGGCTGGGTGTAGTCCTTGGCTGCTGCTGGGTTGAAGGGTGGGCATTCTGCAGGGAAGGAGACTTGCTTGTGACTGTAAAATATTCCCATGTGCTAGGCAGGCATTTCTTCTGGGTTTGGAGAACAAAATGGCTGATGTAAGACTTCTGGGGCACCCATGCCAACAGCCACACAGCTCCCAACTGCTTGCTTTAACCCTGCTAGCAGCCTTCATATCCTGGCCCAAAGTGCCAGGCAGAAGTGGCACGTGAGGCCAGGGCTGGGAAGGGTAGTGTTTGTGTTCCACGGCACCTCCCAGCTGAGGGCAGCTGAACACCAGGACCCCAGGAGCTGGCCTTCTCAGGAGTACTGGGGACCCTGGATTGGGGGGTACCATGGAGATGCTGATATCCCCAGGCACAGGCAGTGGTCCTCAGGGTCTACGTGCAGGTGGAGTAAGGCTGCGTGCGAGGCCAGTCCTCTCACACTAGGCTGTGCCTGTGTAACTACTCCATGCAATTCTCGGGGACAGCTCCGTGAGGTTGGTTTCTGCCAGAGGTGGGGCCTGGAGCTGCACTACTGAGAGGCCTGGTGGGATCCCAGGGCAGATGCACCATCCATGGGGTGCCTGGCCACAAAACAGGTCTGAACTCTAGGTAGGGTTGGGGTCAGCCTGGTTCTCCACACAGGGAGCAAATGCCATGTGCAGCTCAGTCCCAAGAGCAGAAGGCAGCTTGCCCACAGCCCAGTGTTCTGTTTTGCTCCTGAGTGGCGAGACCGCTTGTCTCTTGAGTAGGAAGGGGCTCACGTCTTCCAGGTACTCTGCCAGTGTGGTGGGGCTGGTGTGTGGTCACAGTAGTGCCTGCTAGGTGCTGAGCGCCTGCCTGCACTTGCTCCTGGAGTGCTGTTGTGGGTGTGCTCTGTGAGTGTATTCCACCCTCTGTGTCTCCCTTTCTCGAAAAGTTGGACCAAGACCATGCTGGCCTCAGGCTACAATGGCCCCAGGACCTGGACCAAGCAGGTTTTATGGTGGGCATACAGCTCTGTGAGGGTGATGGTGAAGGGCACAGGGAAAAAACAGGGACCTCGGCCACTGTCAACCCACAGCCACTCCTCCTGCCCCAGCCTCACAGCCCCTGCTGAACTTGCTGAGTACCCTTTTCTTGACAGCCACATGTGGTTCCAAGATGAATTAGGCAAGGTGACCTTGGAACATGCATTACAAACAATTTCCTGGGTGAGCAACGTGGGCCACACTGCCTCATCCACCCAGAAACCAGGCCAGGGACCACTCAGCCTGTCTGGGCACTGGAGGGTGTCAGAGAAACAGCAGGAAGAGGCTGTTGTGGACCCGTGCTCAGGAGAGGGTCAGACACAAGGAGCCCCAATACACTGGAGGTCAGGGCCTGCAGAGCTGGGCTTCTCCAGCCACCTCAGGGTTTGTTGATGTCTGCTTCCCAACCAGAGCCCACTGAGTCAGGGCAGCAGAGAGGAAGCAGAGGGACGGAGGCCCTGTTCATGCACGGGACTTGCGCTCAGCTGCTACTTCTCTCCAGAGGTGTTCCCAGGACGCAGCCTTGAGCTACGGCGCTGGGCTGGCATACCTGGTCAGTCTCTGCCCAGAACTTCCCTCGAGTTCTCCAGTGGCCACAGGTGCTGCCACAGTCTCCTTCCTGAACTGTCACTCGCTGCCCGATCCCCACTGCCTCCTCCTGCTGCGCCAGCCGAAGCTCCTCACACGCACCTGCCCAGTGCCCTCCCCTCGGTCCTCGCTCTGCCTCCTCACAGAGGCCCAACACGGCAAGACCCTAATGTCTTCTCTGGACGCCCCTTGCAGATGGATGGAGGCCTGGCAGCGAGCCCCCGGTCACCTTCCTCCGCACGGAAGAGGGCCCGGACCCCACCTTCCCCAAGACCATCCCCCTGATCCAGCAGTTGCTAAACGCCACGGAGTTCACTCAGGACCCAGCCGCGTACTCCCAGCTGGTGGCCGTGATGGTCTACACTGCTGAGCGGGCCAAGTTCGCCACGGGGGTCGAGCGGCAGGACTGGATGCAGCTGTTCATTGACACCTTTAAGCTGGTGCACAGGGATATCACAGGGGATCCTGAGACCGTGCTGACGCTGTGCTGAGGCCACAGACTACCGTACAGAGCTTGTAGCTTGTAGCTTTCCAGGGCTGCTGCATAACCAGGGCCTAAGATGTAGGAATTCACCTTCCCACATATCTGGACTGCCCTAGGCCCCATTTGAAGCCTTTAGGCCCCATCCCCCAGAGATCCAGGGAAGGCTCCTCCCGCCTCAGCCTCCCTCCCTGTGCCTGCCCACAGCCTCCTGTCTTTGTCTCTGGGCCCCTCTTCCATTTAAGGACACCAGTCACTGGCTTTGAAGTCCACTTTCTCCAGGATGTTACCTCCCAGATCCTTCACTCAGGGCTGAGGTGGCCGAGTGCTTGCCTAGTACCACACAAAGTCTCACCCTAGCTCTCCCATGCAACCCTTGTCACCAAAAGTGACCTTCATAGCTCCTTCAGTTGGATGTGCACATCTGTAGGAGTCACTGTGTCATCTGCCCTCATGGCCCCTGTCCTGGCAAGCTATGTATGTCGGTCTGGACATGGGGGATTGCAGTGGAGGGTATGAAATCCCCTTGACTCGCTTCTTATTGAGCTTAGATTCCAAAAGAGCAGGGTCTTGGGGCAGAAGATCAATGCTGGGGTTAGTAACATGCATGTTCTCGAGGAACAGGGCTCCTTGTGAAGGTACCCAGGGCTGGCTGGCAGGGAGTCTTTGTGATCTCCTAACACCATAACCCCATCTGAACTGGCATCGCCACTGCTAGCCAAATACCCAGCGCTGCCCCATCCAGGATCTGCACCCCCATCCTGACTCCTGAGTTTATCGGGCACATCAGGGAGCACCCACCAGGCAAGACCTTCACTGCCCTTGGCTGTGTGAGCTGAGCATGGGGCAGGGTTCTCTCCCAGTGTGCTATGGAGGTGAACACAGCAAGGTCATCACCCCAAAAACAAGCTAAGACAGGAGACCCCTGAGCCAGAGGAGCACTCCCTGCCTGGCTGGGCTCCCATTCTTCCATCACCCATGTGCTAGGCCAAACCTCCTGCAGTGGGGCTGTAGGCAGAAGAAGGGAGCCCACAGAAGGGGATGGCAGGGTCTGAGAATCCCAACTCCCTGTCTGCCATGCATCTCTGTCACCTTCCTGAACCTGTTGCCCTGCTGTGTGTCCATCTCCATGTCTGTGAGAACCACTGTGGAATGGGTCTTAATTCAAGGGGCTCAGGGAGTGCTGCAGTCTCTGAGAACTTACTAGATAAGCTAAGCAAGTTCCAGCAGCAGTTTGCACTAAAAGAAGCTATGTCATGAATAAGCTCTCAGAAGTGTCCATCTGCAGGAGATGCTCTCCTGCTGGGGTGTGGCTGTCCTCAGGCACAGTGCGCAAATGCTGGGTGTTTCATAAAACTGAAATATACAAAGGAAGTGCATTGCTGTGCTCAAGTGAGCTTCTGACAGGCTGCACCTTGAGGACCCTCAAGCTGGGGGTATACTGAGTATACTTCTGGGGGTTAGGACACTGTTCCTAATGGCATCCCAGGAGTCTAAACACCTGGGTTGTGACAGGTCCTCCCTTTTCTACCCTCAGGGACCCAGCTGTGTCCCTGGTGTGTAGACAGTTAGGTCCCAGTGCAGTCTCTGAAGCCATGTTTAGGTAAGGGTCTGGCCTCTGTCCTGGCTGCAGCCACACTCTGGCCCTCCTGATCACCACATGGGAAAGATGTCCTCTGGGCACAGTGAATCTCAGTGGGGCTCTGACAACACTGAGGTCAGGGGAACCCTCACTAAGGAACCCTCAATAAGTGGGAAGGGGTACAGCTGCCAATCTGGGAGAGATGTGGCCTAGCCAGTCATAGGGCAGAGCAGGCTGAGGCCTGCCAAGAGAGAAACAAGGACTGGGGGCCTATTGAGAGGTCCTCTCCCCCTTCCACCTAAAGGTGACCTTTGCGCAGATGGCAGTTGGCGGGGAGAGACTGGCGGTGACCCCTCTGCCCATGTCCCCAGCTTGAGTCTGAGATTGGTCCTGATGGGAGGCTGTGCCAGGCCTGGAGGACCAGGATACATTCCCAGTGCAGCCTGGCCAAGGACCCCCAGGTCCCCACACCCCTGACATCCACCAACCAACCACCTGTGCCCACCTCGCATCTCCCCCGCAGAGCTGTACGTGGCGCAGTGCACACAGCGGCCCGTGGACATCGTCTTCCTGCTGGATGGCTCCGAGCGGCTGGGTGAGCAGAACTTCCATAAGGCACAGCGCTTCGTGGAGGAGGTGGCCCGGCGCCTGACTCTGGCACGCAGGGACGACGACCCGCTCAACGCCCGAGTGGCGCTGCTGCAGTTCGGGGGCTTGCAGGAGCAGCAGCTGATCTTCCCACTGACTGCCAACCTGACCGTCATCCAGGAGGCACTGGATGATGCCCGCTACCTCAATTCCTTCTCACATGTGGGGGCAGGTGTGGTACATGCCATCAACCAGGTGGTACGTGGTGCACAGGCTGGGGCACGGCGCCATGCTGAGCTGTCCTTTGTGTTCCTCACTGATGGTGTCACTGGCAACGAGAGCCTGGAGGAGGCAGTGCACTCCATGCGCAAGCAGAATGTCGTACCCACTGTGGTGGCTGTGGGCAGTGATGTGGACATGGATGTACTCACCAAGATCAGCTTGGGTGACAGGGCTGCCATCTTCCGTGAGAAGAACTTTGACAGCCTGGCGCAGCCCAGCTTCTTTGACCGGTTCATCCGCTGGATCTGTTAGCGATGACTGCCTGCTACGCCCACACCATCCCCATCTAAGGTGCTAACTCGAACATAGCCTGCTAGAATAGCTGGGCTGTGCACTAGGCCTTTCTGCCAGCAAGAGCCCCTCCTCCCAAGGAGGTCAGGACCAGAGGACCCTGAGCCCAAGGCACAGCCCCTGCAGTCCCCTAGGATCCCCTCTCACTCTCCATTACCCACAATGCCCTCCAGGCCCTATGATCCAAAGTCCCCAGGGCCCACTTTCTATGGACTCTGCCCTCAATGCCTGCTTCCCTCACCCACCTGCAACCCCTCCAAAGGCTCCTGCCATCCTCACACCCTACCTGGGCCCTGTCCTCACCTGACTCCTGAGGGCCATCTCAGCACCCCATGCCCTGTACTCTACAGCCCAATAAAGGCTTTGAACCTGTGGGTGCCACAGCACCTGTGTTTGTGCCTGGCACAGGTCTCACCAGCTGCACATGCAGCATGGCCTACGCCCACCTGGACTGATCATTGCCCTGCATCTCCCAGCCCCAACCCAGCCTCCCCCAGAGAGGGGAGTAGCCACAGCAAAGCACTGGTCACCACACTTCCAAGGCCATGAGCTTGGCACAACCCTAGACCAGGGGTGCTGGGCTGGGAACACTGCTGTGTGGGCCATTAGCTCCTGCAAACTCTCCAAGAGGGTCCTGGGGCAGATGCTGTGCTCTGCATCAGTTCAGGCCAGACAGATCTAAAACTGTGTGACCTCCAGTGTTCATCATCTCCCAGTTCTGAGCCACAAATCCATCCGAGACAGGGGTAGACAGAACTTCCCCTGAAAGACTTCTAGAAGACCGCCACCCACTCCAAGCCCTGTGAGCTCTTGGCTTGCAGTAGCACTGCTGCTGACATCACAGAGTGCTCTGCCTGTCTAAATTCCTCTATGGTTTTGTTTTGTTTTTCCAACAGTGGATAAATTTTTATTGAGTTGTTTGGTTTACAACATGAAGTAAAAGAAAAAGCAATTCTCCATACCCAGTATTTTACACAGTAGTAGTAAGGTATTTTAGAGTTCAGGGATTTCTGAGGGATAATATCTCTCAGAAGTTAGGCTCAGGGGCCAGGGAGATGGCTCAGTGGAATAAGCACTTCCCTGGCAAGCACAAGGGCCTGTGTTCAATCCTCAGTTCTGCATAAGAAAGAAAGAAAGAAAGAAAGAAAGAAAGAAAGAAAGAAAGAAAGAAAGAAGAAAGAAAGAAAGAAAGAAAGAAAGAAAGAAAGAAAGAAAGA